GGTACCAGTCCCAAGGACCAAGAGTACCAGTTCCTGGTGCCAGCATATGAAAACTTTACCTTGACCTTCGTCACAGACGATATTATTAATCAGCTCGGATTTCAGGTGATTTGTTCCCACATACTTGATTACATAATTTCAGATAAGTGAAATGACTTGAACCCGGAATCGAACTCGAGACTTTCGGGTCTAGTACTCTACTACTAGGCCACGCCGTCCCATCGATATGGAAAATAAAAATTTAATTAAACTCTATTTACAAAGGTAACACCACTAGGCACTGAGGCCTTTTCTTTACAGATTTCTCGTTATAAAAAAACCCTGTATTTTTTTTATTAAATACATTTTCTAAATGATGCAGTTTGTTTAGTGCGTCTTGTGGCCAGATGGTGCCGGATGCTATCGTATGGTACCAATACCGTAGCAACTATCTGACTTGCTGGACACAATATTAGTCATATGACAAGAGACATCACTCTAAGAAACAGAAACCTTAAAAACAACTCCGATGTTTTGGCCATTTTTTAAATGAAATCTTAATTTTTTTTACATTTCTGTTAGTCTCGTATTCCTTATTCTAGCCATGACTCTAAAACCACAGTAGTATGTTGAACCTCGGCACAAAGGTGTGTCATCCCAACAGCTTTAATTGTTGTGTGACTCTTGTAATCGTTTTCCTCCAGCTGTCCCTGCAAGCCAGGATGTACACTGGCGGGATTGTGAGCACTCCCACGGGCGAGGTGAATGACTGGTCAAGCAAAGATTTCGCCAATGTGACCCTGGGGTCTGTCTTCACAGACGGGTGCGTGACCACACCCAACCCATCGTTACAGGGCGCAACCACCAGCCCTTCGTACCCCGACACCAACAGCCCTTCGTACCCCGACACCAACAGCCCGTGGTACCCCGACACCAAAAGCCCTTCGTACCCCGACACCAACAGCCCTTCGTACCCCGACACCAACAGCCCTTCGTACCCCGACACCAACAGCCCTTCGTACCCCGACACCAACAGCCCTTCGTACCCCGACACCAACAGCCCTTCGTACCCCGACACCACCAGCCCTTCGTACCCCGACACCAACAGCCCGTGGTACCCCGACACCAACAGCCCTTCGTACCCCGACACCAACAGCCCTTCGTACCCCGACATCAACAGCCCTTCGTACCCCGACATCAACAGCCCTTCGTACCCCGACACCAACAGCCCGTGGTACCCCGACACCAACAGCCCTTCGTACCCCGACACCAACAGCCCTTCGTACCCCGACACCAACAGCCCTTCGTACCCCGACACCAACAGCCCTTCGTACCCCGACACCAACAGCCCTTCGTACCCCGACACCACCAGCCCTTCGTACCCCGACACCAACAGCCCGTGGTACCCCGACACCAACAGCCCTTCGTACCCCGACACCAACAGCCCTTCGTACCCCGACATCAACAGCCCTTCGTACCCCGACATCAACAGCCCTTCGTACCCCGACACCAACAGCCCGTGGTACCCCGACACCAACAGCCCTTCGTACCCCGACACCAACAGCCCTTCGTACCCCGACACCAACAGCCCGTGGTACCAAGACACAGGCACAGTAACGCCGACAGCCGGTACTACTGAACAACCCCTCACCTACCCCAACGACATACTGCCGAACCCACTAGACACATACACCTGGCCCCCACATAAGTCCACAACATCCTTCCCAGCCACTACACCACCCAACCCGTGCTACGGCCATCCATGTACAACCCATCCTTGCAACCCATACAACCACAACAACCCCAACAACCCCAACAACCCCCGCAACCCCTACTCCATCTACGCTGTGATGGAAGCTGTCCAGTACCTTCAACAGGAACAGTTCAACCGTGACCACGTGCTGTCCCTGCTTCAGCTGTTCCTGCAACACAACAGGATGTAACAGCCTGCAACAGCTTTAACCAGCCTACAACAGCTTCAACCAACTTACAACAGCTTTAACCAGCCTACAACAGCTTTAACCAGCCTACAACAGCTTTAACCAGCTTACAAGACAACAGCTTTAACCAGCTTACAACAGCCGTAAACAGCCTTCAACAGCTTTAAACAGCCTCTATCACATCAACGATTACCAACTTATACAATGTTTTTGAAATAAAATATTAATCAGAATTTCCTGTAACAAATTATTGTTTAAATTTATTTTCTCGCCAATTTTTTAAATAACGTGTTATGTTCGCCGGTTAAATGTGTAAGCTCCCATTTAGCCAGATTGTACCGACTCCCACTTGATGAATTATATTTTGCAACGCTTCCTACTTTTTATATTTTACAACGAACGCAAACACACACATACAGACGCACACATACAAACATACACCCATACCGACAAACACAAACCAACACATGTTTTAGTAATTAAAATAATAAAAAAATTGCACCTAAAAAATCAGTTGTCGGAATTGCTGTTGATATAAACATAAGGAACAATTGCACAGCTTATGGGTATGTCGATTGTATAAAAAAAATTCTGTCTCTGTTGACTCAGTGAAGGGATATTATTGTCAGCATTATGACCAGCCGCCTTTATTTCCCCTTTCGTGAGTTAGGTACCCATTACAGCTGGATGGACTCAAGGATGTTCTACGTACTTTAACCCGGATTCGAACTCGCGACTTCCGTGGTTAGCTGTCTTATGCTTTACAATTCGCCTACTTCGTCCTATGTCGATTTTGTGAACTTATGTATCCAACCACTGTAAACAGCTAAAGAATTGTGTACTTATGTATGTCCCTATTTTGTCCTGGTAGCATGGCCAGGCTGTAGTGCGTTCGACTGATAGACCATACGAGCCGACCCGCAGCGTATCATACGCCGCTATTTAGTTGTTTTATTTTCTACTTTTCAGTAATTCATAATTTGTGAATTCGACAGTACCAATGCTGCCACTGAAAATATGTGCTTTAAAACACTAACCCCCCCCCCCCCTTTCCCCTAACCCCGACCCTACACCCCCCCCCCCCCCGTGAAAGCAGCCTCCTCTTAGTTATTTCTTAGTTACCTCCTGTAAGTTTAAAATCGAACTAAATTATCTGTCCCTAATAGAAACCCGGCTCTACGGCTCTACGATTTGTAAACATTTAGCTTTGTAAACATTTAGCGTGACCACAACTCACCAGACAATGTGGGGGTGGGGTGGAGGTGGTAGTGATAGTGATAGAGAGAAAGAGAGGGGACTGCAAGGAGGCGCTTGCAGCTTGTTTTCTAACGGCTCCCAGAAGAGAATTATATATATAGATGTCTCGAGTTCGGATCTCTGATGAGTTCCTGACACACGTAAAAGAAAGTCATTGTGGCTGGGGATAGTGCTGACTACACCATCAAGTTATATTCCATTGTATCAGAAACAGGGTAACTCTACTTCATCTGCCCCAGGTTAACTAATATGAACTTGCTACACACCACACCTGAAGTATGTATTAACACATGGCATTTTTTTAAAGGGGAGCGAAATGTATTCTGTCACTGCTATTTATAGCCCTCTTAAATTTTGGAACCGGCCCAAGTAAAGCATCTTCTCCCATTAATATTTGTTTAACAGCCAATAGCAAATTTTGTTACACGATAACAATAGAAATGGGGGGGGGGGCGTGGTCACTCTCAAGCTAAACGTAAGTCTACGATTTGTCCCATGTTCTAATCCATGGGATAGCTCTGAGTTCACTCAGCTCTTATGGGTACCTCGCTCGAGTTGGGGAAGGTCTTATATGAACAATGCTGATCACACAATCGCATGTTATGCTTATTCAGAACAGGTTAACTCTACCGCACCTGTTTACCGTGGGTGAAAAGGTGCTGTAGTTGCTACGACTTAAGAAATAAACCGGGAGTGATCTCCCCTAAACTTTCTCGAATATTCTAATATAAAATTACGAGGGATGGCAACTCAGGACATAGACAATATTTGTTATCCATTTTTAATTACTTAAACTTTTTATAATAGAATAGAATCTCGTAAAAAAAAAGAATTGCACACCAAGTGAAAAGTTTCCCTTTCAAACCTGACGGTCTATGGGGCAAGTGAAGTAGAGTTCACTTGTTTCTGTGAACTAGGCATATGAAGAGATAGTGTGGACATACGGACAGAATTGCAAAGTCCAGTTTTTACAACTCGATAACGCATAATACGCCAAAACGTTCATATATCTGTATTTATAATTTTTGCCTGATTAAAATAAGTCCTCTATACTCCGGATGTGATGAAGGACTGAGGAGTAAAACTTTGAAAACTGTCAAAATTTCATGTTATTTTTGTGCACGATTACAATATTTCCTCTATACTTCGTATATCCGAGAAAGAAAAAAAATTAAAACACGATAGTCTAAGTTTAAGAGAGAGGTTTTCAGATTAAAGAACAAACGAGAATTTGTGAACAACTAGATATGTGCTGACGTAGGTAGATATTTTTATCTTCTTTTATTTCCGCTCGTCATAATGTGATGTAATTCAAGCGGTTATAATGTTTGTGGGAGCCGGATCATTCTAATCTAGTGGGAGCCGGTACAACCTGATCTAATTGGAGCCGGTACAACCTGATCTAATGGGAGCTGGTACAATCTGATCTAATTGGAGCCGGTACAACCTGATCTAATGGGAGCCGGTACAATTTGATCCAATACCACTTTCCGTCCTATCTAAAAGATATTTATGTGACACGATATTGTCAAATCGCTTTTGTTTATATCACCTCCCTCATAGCGATCAGGTAGAGGCCCCAGACTATCGTAACTCACTTTAAACAAAACACATACATGGTTTATCGTGTCTGTTGTCAATTGTGATGAGATCTAAACAATTTGTTGTCCATTGGGTTGGAGCCTATGCTGACATAAATCTGGCACTCTGAGGTGAATAAATCTTGGCGTCACGTGACCGTGGGACCCAGGTGTCGTGGGAACAAGTCCGGTCCAGTCAGCGACCACTGGCTATATAAACACTGACCCAGGGCACGGGGGTAACAGTCTGTTACACAGTGTAGGATTTGATTTCATCTGTTGGCTGTTTGTTGCAAGTCTGACGTCACCTGTTGTCTGTATGTTGCAAGTCTGACGTCACATCTTACAAGTCTGACGTCACCAAGTATTGAACAATGCTGCTCACCCTAACCCTGGTACTGATGGTTCCTGCTCTCTGTCTTGGACTCGATGATGTTCTTCCCGTATGTATACATTTCTAGTCGTTTTTACTAATGGGTGTGTGTCTATGCGTATGTACGTGCGCGCTTGTATTTGGTGTGTGTGTGTGCTTGTGCATGTAGGTGTGTTTGCGTGAGTACGTGTGCGTGTGTGTGTGTGTTCGTGGGTGCGTGTGCGTGTGTGTGTATGTGTGCATGGAATGAAGAATACTTATATAAATTATATCTAATGATGTAACATTAAATGAGGTGCAATTTTAGAGGCGACATCATGTCTTTATGATAGGATAATTTCCACGACATAGGAAACCACGTGCTGTGTAATCTTTCTTAGAGAGCCAAAAGACAGACCAGCAAATTAACGTTCTGTAGGACGACAAACGTCAACCTTTACCCTGGGAGGAATGTCACAATCCAGAGTCACAGTCTGTCTGATGGCTATTACTATAAGAACAACGTTAACTGTCAGATGATGTTCAGGGGCGGAGAAGACCCTTTAGTTCTCACGATCAAATTCCAGTAAGTTTAAATTGATCTAATTTCTTGGTGCCGTTTAAAAAAAAAACAGGTGCAAAAGGTATAACACCTGCTGTCCACTTACAACACACACAAACAAACAAGCAAACAAATAAACTTGCAGCAGACCAATACACCTTCAACCACAGCGTGCAGACATCTGTCTTAATTTAAGACACACGTGATTCAGGTCTACATTAGTATCGTCTAAGATAAATTTGTGTCTCAATGAAAATGACAAGTTGGTGTTCCCGCTGATGCTGTTGTATTCCGTTGCAGAAATTTTGACGTCCAGGACTCCCCTGACTGTCGCTATGACTACCTGAGCTTCTGTGGCGTGAAGTTCTGTGGCACCCGCCCCAAGAACCAACAGTACCAGTTCCTGGTGCCGGCCTGGGGCAACGTTACCATGACGTTTTTCACAAACAGATACATTAAGAGGCGCGGATTTCAGGTCAGCTGTATAAGTCCTAATTAATGGCCAATTATATGTACAAAAATCATCCTGGTTGTTTTATTGAAAATCAGTTAACCAAATGACGAAATAAGTTGGGGCCAATTTGTCAGTAGGTAGCCGCTAAATAAACTCTATATGGCAAGGGAAATAACTGAGAAAAAAACAATATGACGCTAAATATTTCTTATATGACTGCTGCCATCATCACGTTTTCTCGCTCGTGCCTAAGACACATAGAGCACATGAAGTAGAGTTCACCTGTTTTAATGATCTTGGGGACATTGCCCAACCGCATGTTTCCTTAACATGAGTCAGGTACCCATCTGAGCTGAGTGTACTCAGAAACATTCGGGTTGGCAGTCGTAAATAAATATTGGATCAGATACGTAAGTTTCTGTCAACTTTCGGTAACCATATAATATGTGTTACTAAACCACATTTCCGATCTCTCAAAACCTTCAGCATTTTGTAATGTTAAATCATATTATCGTAAAGCGGTGTATTCTATCAACGTTTCGCATCTGTTTTTCTCGACAACCGAGCGGTTTGGTCACAACCTTCCCTACCATTTCTATAGCCCTTACCCACTGGGTGTGCCATCCTAACATCTAATGTTACACAGCAATAATTGAGAAAGTTTAGGGGAGATCACTCTCGCATTTATTTTCAAACTCTTCTTGTCTTTTCTCTAGTTTTCCCTGCAAGCTAGGATGTACACTGGCGGGCTTGTTTCAACACCCACTGGCGTGATTTCGAGTCGCTCAACCCCAAAGTTTGTGAATGTGTCCGGGAATTACACAGAGAAAATGCCAACAGCCCCGCCCACCACATCTACTAAGTCTACCACCAGCCGAGGTTACCCGCCATGGTACGAGAACACAACAAGACTTTGGAATTCACCAACAACCACCGCCAGCCCACCAACAACAACCACCGCCATCCCACCAACAACAACCACCGCCAGCCCACCAACAACCACCGCCAGCCCACCAACAACAACCACCGCCATCCCACCAACAACAACCACCGCCAGCCCACCAACAACCACCGCCAGCCCACCAACAACCACCGCCATCCCAACAACAACCACCATCAGCCCACCACAACCCTCCACAACTGTTGTTTCTAGAACCTTCGAGCCCTACCCCGCCACCACACCATGGTGGAGACCTAGCGACCCACCAACCATGACCACAAGAGCTCCTGGAACCTTCCAGCCTTACCCCGCCACTACATCATTGGACCGACCCACGGGGAGAACGGTCAACCCACCACGAGGCGGCACCACCAAGTCACCACCACCTACAATTTCCAGAGCTCCTAGAACCTTCCAGCCCTACCCCGCAACTTCACCACGGGACCAACCCACGGGGAGACCAAGCTACGCACCAACCATGACCACTAGCGCTGCTAGAACCTTCCAGCCCTACCCTGCCACCACACCATGGGACCAACACACGGGGAGACCAAGCTACGCACCAACCAGGACCGCTAGTGCTGCTATAACCTTCCAGCCTTACCCCGCCACCACATCATGGGACCAACCCACCAGAGCACCAACAACCACCCCCGGTACGACTCAAACACCCCGCCCCTACACCATCAACGACGTCACGTGGGGCCCACAAGCCACACCCACCTGGCCCCCACGTAGGTCCACACCAGCCTACACCTTCCCAACCCTACCAACCTTACCACAACCCAACCCGTGCTACGGCCATCCATGTGCAACCCATCCATGCAACCCCAACAACCCCCGCAACCCCTACTCCATCTACGCTGTGATGGAAGCTGTCCAGTACCTTCAACAGGAACAGTTCAACCGTGACCACGTGCTGTCCCTGCTTTAGCTGTTCCTGCAACACAACAGGATGTAACAGCCTGCAACAGCTTTAAACAGCCTGCAACAGCTTTAACCAGCATACAACAGCTCTAACCAACCTACAACAGCATTAACCTACCTAGAACAGCTTTAACCAACCTACAGCTTTAACTAGCCTACAACAGCATAAACCAACCTATAACAGCTTTAACCAGCCTACAAGACAACAGCTTTAAACAGCTTTAACAGACTAAAATATAACAGCCGTTTAACAGCATTCCCTATAGCAGCTAGGAAGGTCAAAAAATCAACAGCGTGAACAGCTAGCAATAAAACATCTCCGAACCAAATGTACATTTAGAGAAAATAAAATATTAATCAGATCTTTCACCAACTATGTCTTATTGAAATCTATTTATCTCTTCAAATATCTGTTTAACTCTGGTATGGCGTGGTCGGGTGATAGAGTATTCGACAGTTACCCCTTAAGCTTAGTTCGAATCTCGGTTTTGTGTCTGTAGAAAGTCCCTGAGTCAACTCAGCGCAGATGGGTACTTTACTCATGCTAAGGAAAGTAAAGGCGGCTGGACATTGTGTTGACAACACTATCTCTTCACATGCCGAGGTCACAAAATTATGGTAAACTCTACTTCACCTGCCCCATGCTCGAAAGGGTACTTAACTGAGTGACTGAAAGTGTGCCCGATAGAGTCACTAGTGACGGGAACTCTTCTGTCTTGAATGAGAAAATTGATCTCGCGAGATTAGGTCTCGTCATCATTTGGTTCAACACGTCAACAAATAGCCGAATCAAAAGAGGGGTGACTGGAGTCGTAATTAAACCTAATTTAATGAACACTACGTCACATTCATTGGCCTGCGGAAGAAGTGATGTCATGGATTTAAAAATAAAGGGAGGGGGAGGAGAATGTGTCTCTTACGTTTTACAACTGTTAACACGATAGTTTCGAGTTAGGATCCCAAACCCGAGTCTGTAGAAGGTCCCTAAGTACACCCAGCTCTGATGGGTACCTGGCTCACGTAAAGGAAACTAAGGCGGCTGGACATTGTGCTGACCACACCATTGTATCGTATGATGAGGTTATTAGAACCCATAAACTTTAATACATCTGCCTCGTTTATCTGGACATGAACGGAAATACAGGGTGGTATGACATACAAACACACATGTACACACACAAACACACACATGCACGCACGCATGTACACACACATGTACACACATGTACAAACATGTACACACAAATGTACACACACAAATACACACATGTACACACACGTGTACACACACATGTACACACACATGTACACACACCTGTACACACACACATGTACACACACATGTACACACACATGTACACACACATGTACACACACATGTACACACACCTGTACACACACATGTACACACACGTGTACACACACATGTACACACACCTGTACACACACACATGTACACACACATGTACACACACATGTACACACACATGTACACACACCTGTACACACACGTGTACACACACGTGTACACACACATGTACACACACATGTACACACATGTACACACACATGTACACACACATGTACACACACATGTACACACACATGTACACACACATGTACACACACATGTACACACACATGTACACATGGTTCCAGTAAACTCTTACAGTGTCCAGACGTAAGCTAACAACGAGACAGGCTATTCCACAGTTCCCTCTCCAGAAAGTCCACTGGTCAGCACTATTGACAGTGCCGTCGTAAAAACGTACGTCACGTAGAATAAAAAAATCTGCCGTGAGAATGTGCTTTGACTGTTTATGAGCATCAAAAGAATCACAGTGTGCTCAACTTTCACCCTGTTCCACAATGTCTGAGCGCTAGTGTTGGTGAAATGTTGTCAACGTCATCTTCAACTTAGTTGTGAGTACAGCAGCATTGTTGGTGGTCAGTTGAAGGACAACAGGACTTTTGAATAGGAAAATCCAACAAGACATTCCAACAACATTCTTTTAATAGTTTTGTTTTTCCTCTCTCAGTGATGTAACCATGGAAACACCTCACTCAGTCCTGTAACCACGGAAACACAGCTCAATATTGTAACCATGGAAACACCTCACTCAGTCCTGTAACCACGGAAACACAGCTCAATATTGTAACCACGGAAACACAGCTCATTCAGTCCTGTAACCATGGAAACACAGCTCACCCAGTCCTGTAACCATGGAAACACAGCTCACCCAGTCCCGTAACCATGGAAACACAGCTCACCCAGTCCCGTAACCATGGAAACACAGCTCACTCAGGCAGCTCCAGCTGAAGGTGCCAGGCGGAACTCTGTCCACCAGCTCGGACACTGACGTCACGAGCACCGACACAGACACACACGACAGACACGTGAACGGATAGACAGACGGCAGGTCAACAAATACGTAGACAGTAGGCATCTCCAAGTGTATGGAGACCAGCGATAGGTCGGCGAAATACGCCGCGAATGACATGTTGCCAGATAAGTAGTGCGATGACATGTCAGATGACATGTATGACAGACAGACGCAGAGAGAGACACGTGATAGGTCTGAGAAGAAAGATGAGATGGACAAGTCCAGGTAGAGGGAGACAGGGGTCATCTTTAGAGTTTCGTCTTGGTGGTTAGTGGCAGGTTAGTGGCAGGTTAGTGGCAGGTTAGTGGGACGTTAGTGGCAGGTTAGTGGGATGTTAGTGGCAGGTAAGTGGCAGGTTAGTGGCAGGTAAGTGGGATGTTAGTGGCAGGTAAGTGGCAGGTTAGTGGCAGGTTAGTGGGGCGTTAGTGGCAGGTTAGTGGCAGGTTAGTGGCAGGTTAACGGGAGATAAGTGGCAAGTTAGAGTAATGTCAGTGGCAGGTAAGGTCAAGATTGGTTAGAGTTATACAAGTGACCACTGGAAAAAAAAACATTAAGTTCAACAAAACATGGAGTGTGATGGACCTTATATGCTAGATGCTGGGTGACAGTAAACAAATGGTAAGAACGAATGATCCGATGCATCCGCCAGCATTTTGTCGCTAGTTATCGTTCTTTCTGTCCTTCAATCCAGAGTTACCGTTCTCACCTCGAGTCGCACCTTATCGTTCTCACCTGTTGACACCGCCTAATGATAATGATAACTGTTTTTTATTCTAGAAAACTGCCACATATTTTTATGTCATAAACCTACTGCTCTACTCCCAGCCGTAAAAATACGTCTAAAGTTTGCAGACGCGACAACACTAAAGTGACGACCGTGTCCATAGTTGTCAGATAACACAACACAAGGACCAGTACTCTTGTGACTGGACTAATGGCCCAGTATAGAAATACACATAGTTACAGAATCACTTTTTAAAAATGTAAGAGTTCAGAAAATCATATTAGCTGTGAATATATGGAGACAGTTCTGAACAAATGTCAACGTTTTTTATATACATTTTATAGAGAATAACGACTTTTTGTGGTCGGGAGTTCAAAAACCGCTCGCTCATACTGAGAGAGTCTACCTTTTTAACGTTTAACTGTTAAAAACTACTTTGATTCTGTGTTCATACTTTATTTTACTTCTGTTACTAACACTAGAAAATGACAATGAAGCCTGGTTTGTTAAAACTAACGCATACTTGAATCCTGTTTTTAAAAAAAATTGTTTTAGTTGGGATAACTTGCCCGTGTACTTTCTCTTACAAAATCGTTGAACAGAAATTGAAAACTCTCCGATATTTTTACCCCAATTCACGTGTCAACCATCAAACGTCATATAACAAAGCGCTTCGTACATCCAATCAATTGACGCATGCGCCTGGGGGCCACAGTTAACTCTCCGCCAATCAGAAAATGACACGAGCAATTTAAAACTGTTTACGTCTGCTGGGACCATTTACCGCCAGACGTCAAGGAAGGGGCGGGTTATTTCCCTTGATTGGTTTCAATTAGACGGGCCGATTTGATCGATTTTTAAAAGATCGTATCGAAGAAGGATTCATGATTCAAATTGTTTAAATTAAGTAATTTATTTTTCCAGCGAGAGTGTGTGATTTTGTGGGGTTGATGTGGGTGTGTGGAGAGGAGGGGTGGGGAGGAGATCGTTAATGGAAGACCGACCTCAAGTTTAATAAAGAAAAAAGTCGAACTTAATTTAAGTCAATTTGGCACAAACGGTTATCCATAAAGTCTCGAATAGAAAAGGCAACAATGAACTATTTACTTTGTTTACCAGATTCAAGCGTAATCCAGTCTGGCTTTAAAGTACACAATAGATATTCTAGACTCCGTGGGTCCAACAGTGTTTGTTGTCTTGTGTTGGTGGTACCATCTGATTCTGTCAGCGTCTGTTGATTTTATAAAAGCTAAGATAGTCGTGTGTTTCATGCAGTTATCTTTTTAACTTAGCAAGTTGTTTGATTTAGCCACATGTTTGTTTAACTTAGCCACCTGTTTATTTTAATTAGCCACCTGTTTATTTCAATTAGCCATATGTTTATAAAAGCTCCCCACAAATGGACCCCTTATAAAAGCTCCCGACAAATGGACCCCTTATAAAAAGCTCCCGACAAATGGACCCACCCGCAGTTTTAGCTTCCGATAAAGAGGCTGGAGAGAATAGTCGCGGGTCCATTTGACGCGGGTCCTTTTGTCAAGGCTATTTTGACTCGGTCATTTTGATGGTATACTAAAATAAAAGAGACTGGTGGTGTGTTCAGCTTAAAACCGAAAAGTCTAATAGCACAAAGAAATAAAAAAAAAACTCTAACAATAAGATTATTTTTTTATAAAATAGTTTTCTATTCTTTTAGAAGATTTTTTTGTTTCTATAAAGTTAATTTGATACAATTCCGCTAGGTGGGTCTGCCAATAACCAGAAACCAATGAGATGGCGGCACCAAATTTGACCACTGACGGAGCTGGTCTGGAAGTGACCATCGACATTTTCTCCGTGCCGCTCGTATCCAATGACGTCATGGTTTACGTCAACTTTATTTTCTTCGCCTGCATCATTTTCATCCTCACTGTCATCGGTCTAGTCACCAACACACTCAGTATCGTGGTCTTCATCAAACAGGTGAGTCTCCAACACACTCAGGTGAGTCACCAATACACAAGTGTGTCACCAACACACACAGGTGTGTCACCAACACACACAGGTGAGTCACCAACACACACACACAGGTGAGTCACCAACACACACAGGTGTGTCACCAATACACACAGGTGAGTCACCAACACACAGGTGTGTCACCAACACACACATGTGAGTCACTAACACACAAGTGTGTCACCAACACACAGGTGAGTCACCAACACACAGGTGAGTCACCAATACACACAGGTGAGTCACCAACACGCAGGTGAGTCACCAACACACAGGTGAGTCACCAATACACAGGTGTGTCACCAACACACACACAGGTGAGTCACCAACACACCCAGGTGAGTCACCAACACACACAGGTGAGTCACCAACACACACAGGTGAGTCACCAACACACACAGGTGAGTCACCAACACACACAGGTGAGTCACCAACACACACAGGTGAGTCACCAACACACACAGGTGAGTCACCAACACACATACACGTGAGTCACCAATACACAGGTGAGTCACCAACACACAGATGTGTCACCAACACACAGGTGAGTCACCAACACACAGGTGTGTCACCAACACACAGGTGTGTCACCAACACACAGGTGAGTCACCAACACACACAGGTGAGTCACCAACACACACAGGTGAGTCACCAACACACAGGTGAGTCACCAATACACAGGTGTGTCACCAATGCACAGGTGTGTCACCAATGCACAGATGTGTCACCAACACACAGGTGTGTCACCAACACACAGGTGAGTCACCAACACACAGGTGAGTCACCAACACACAGGTGTGTCATCAACACACACAGGTGAGTCACTAACACACACAGGTGAGTCACTAACACACACAGGTGAGTCACTAACACACAGGTGAGTCACCAACACACACAGGTGAGTCACCAACACACAGGTGGGTCACAAACACACACAGGTGAGTCACCAACAATCACCGGTGTACCACTAACACAAAAATGCCCGTCGTTCCAAATTTTAGCTCGGTAGTTTTAACACCTGACCGCCCCCTTGTTACATACATTAGTTTTATACCCACATGGTGTAGACAGACTTGTCCTTCACAGACAGAGACAGTCTTGTCCAACAAACATTCAAGACAGTCTTCCACTTGCAGGGGTTCCAGGACACAATCAACATAAGTCTGTTGTCTCTGTCTGTGGCAGACATTGGAAGTCTGATCCCCCGTCTCTGGCAGTGTATCAGCTTCAACCCGTTCATCTACAGCCTTGACCTTCCCTTCAGCCTGCTGGAGGTCCAGTACGTCACCGCAGGTAGGTCAGATCATTCCATTGGATGATAGCAGTCACGTGGTTTGGTCAGCTATTAATAACTTAGTGTGTTAACGGTGTATGTCTTTTGGTGCTTTATTTAGTTTAGCAAACCGTAATATTTTTATAAGATGTAACCTAACCTAACCTAACCTAACCCAACCTAACCTAACCCAACCTAACCTAACCTAACCTAACCCAACCTAACCTAACCCAACCCAACCCAACACAACCTAACCTAACCTAACCTAACCGAACCTAACCTAATCTAACCTAACCTAACCTCACCTAACATAACATAACCTAACCTAACCTAACCTAACCCAACCTAACCTAACCTAACCTAACCTAACCTAACCTAACCCAACCCAACCTAACCTAACCTAACCTAACCTAATCTAACCTAACCTAACCTCACCTAACATAACCTAATCTAATCTAACCTAACCTAACCTAACCTAACCCAACCTAACCTAACCTAACCTAACCCAACCTAACCTAACCTAACCTAACCTAACCTAACCCAACCTAACCAAACCCAACCCAACCCAACCTAACCTAACCTAACCTAACCTAACCTAATCTAACCTAACCTAACCTCACCTAACATAACCTAACCTAATCTAACCTAACCTAACCTAACCTAACCCAACCCAACCCAACCCAACCTAACCTAACCTAACCTAACCTAACCTAACCTAACCTAACCTAACCTAACCTAACCCAACCCAACCCAACCTAACCTAACCTAACCTAACCTAATCTAATCTAACCTAACCTAACCTAACCCAACCTAACCTAACCTAACCTAACCTAACCCAACCTAACCTAACCTAACCTAACCTGACCTAACCTAACCTAACCTAACCTAACCTAACCTAACCCGACCTAACCTAACCTAACCTAACCTAACCTAACCTAGCCTAGCCTAGCTTAGCTTAGCCTAGCCTAGCCTAATTTAACCTAACCTAACCTAACTTAACCTAACCTAACCTAACCTAACCTAACCTAACCCAACCCATCCTAACCTAACCTAACCTAACCTAACCTAACCTAATCTAATCTAACCTATCCTAACTAACCTAACATAACCTAACCTAACTAACCTAACTAGCCTCACTAACCTAACTAACCTAACTAACCTAACCTAACCTAACCTAACCTCACCTAACCTAACCTAACTAACCTAACCCAACCTAACCTAACCTAACTAACCTAACTAGCCTCACTAACCTAACTAACCTAACTAACCTAACCTAACCTAACCTAACCTAACTAACCTAACCGAACCTAACCTAACCTAACTTAACCAGCCGTCCCCCACGAGATGATGTCCCGGGTGGCTTGGTGGATCACCACCTACATCACCTTCGAGCGCTGCCTCTGCATCGCCATGCCCCTCAAGGTCAAGCACTACGTCACGCCCCGGGGCACCGTCCTGGTGATGGTGGGCATCTACGCCGTGGTGCTGGGCGGGTCCCTGACTGTCGCCGTCTGCCACATGCTGGTGCCGGTCTACTTCCCGCAGCTCAACCGGACGATCGTCATCAAGGCATACCGCGAGAACGGGCTGTACATGGAGACCATCGGCTTCTACGTCTTCGTCTCCATCCAGTGCGGGGCCATCCTCACCAACGCCATCCTCACCACCATCATCATCAAACAGCTGCGGGTCAAATCAAAATGGCGGGAGGTGACGTCACACACCGCCGGACCCAAAGACCGGCTCAGTCTCCGCGACCGGAAGCTGGTCAAGATGGTGATCTTCATGTCGTGTATATTCATCGGCTGCGTGACCCCTAGCCTAGCGACCTTTCTGGCTATCACGACCTTGACCTACAACTTCGTCTACTCTTTCCGCTACTACAACGTGTTCGTGATCGTGTGGGCGGTGGTCTACGTCTTCGAGACCACCAACAGCATGGTCAACTTCTTCGTCTACTACAACATGAGCGCCAAGTTCAAGGCCACCTACAACGCTGTCTTTTGGACCAGCAAAGTTGAGAAAGACAAAAAAAAGTAGTCCCGGTCTCCATGAGACCGTATCACTACAAGTGGCTCCTCGCACTACTTTTATAAATTATCTTACTTTATTTCTGTGGTGTCATCAAAGTGTGGGTTGAGGGGGGGGGGGCTAAAAACAACAACATTTACAGACAGAAAAGAAATATGTTTACTCTGACACCAAAGCGAAAAAATGTTTTGAAACAGGCAGTGATAACCCGGGATACCTCACCTAGTGACGCCCCACCTTGTGACACCCCCCCCCCCCCTAGTGAGGCAATTGTTGACACCTTGAAAACTTAAGTTTTAGAGACTCACTTATAAAACAAGCATCGTAGAATATGGCTCCGACCACACCCTGTCAATAACATACATTCAAAATAATCCTGTTTATGTAGTCAGTGGTCAAGTTAGCATAGCCGTGGACGTTGCCTGTGGTAGATGGCACTAATGGAACCAGAACTCACTCAAAGACCTCAGATGGTTTGTGTTATGAGTTTAAAATGTGATTGGATTTAAGCTTTGATCTGTAATATTTCCGGTCATTTGAATTCCGTTTTAAAAATTGTATGTTCTGTTAAACCTATGTATTACTTCAGGACTACAAACAAAACAAACTCGCAACTTTAGTAAAGAATTGGTCACTAAAATATGTAAGAGATTTCATGAGCGACAGAAGCTTTGATTAAAGGAAGCAATTTTGTTTTATTTTTCCTATTTTGAGTGTACTTAAAAGCTTGTTATTATAAATTATAAGGTTTTTATAGTTGTTTTTTTTTCCTATACGTTTTTTTTTATTTTAAATTCATTACTTAGTAAACAAACGTTTAAGTATTCCAACACAATTTTTTCAAACATTCCAAACAACATTAAAAAAAAAACTATAAATATTTGTTGTGCATTTTCAATTTTATTTTATTCTTATTTTTTAGGGAGATTTATCCAAAATTGGTTTAAGGACTATATTTTACCAAGGGATAAGTTTAAGAGCCGTGATCGAGGGTTAAAAGCCGTGTTGGTGTGTGGAGGGTTAAAAGCCGTGTTGGTGTGTGGAGGGTTAAAAGCCGTGTTGGTGTGTGGAGGGTTAAAAGCCGTGTTGGTGTGTGGAGGGTTAAAAGCCGTGTTGGTGTGTGTAGGGTTAATAGCCATGTTGGTCTGTGGAGGGTTAAAAGCCGTTTCTGGCCAGAAACTGGTTGAGCAGATCCAGGGCGTTGTTCCTGTTGTCAAGCTCTTGTCTCAGGTACTGGACAGCCTGGAAGACCAGGTAGGGGTAGTTGGTGTTGCAGGGCTGGGGGTAGTAGGGCGCCGTCGTGTAGTAGTTGTAGCTGGTGTCGGGGTAGTAGTAGGGATAGGTGGTGTAGTTGTAGTAGGGGTAAGTGGTGTAGTTATAGTAGGGGTAAGTGGTGTAGTTGTAGTAGGGGTAGGTGGTGTAGTTGTAATAGGGGTAGGTTGTGTAATTGTAGTAGGGGTAGGTGGTGTAGTTGTAGTTGGGGTAGGTGGTGTAGTTGTAGTTGGTGGTGGTCGGCTGGACGTTGAAGAAAGTCTCAGGGCTGTAGTTGCATTTGTCCTCGTACACGCTGCTGCCGTTGACGGAGGTGAAGGTCACGTTGCTGCCGCCTGCTCCCGTGCCAGATGGCGTGTTGACGACGGTGCCGTTTGTGTAGCGTCTGGCCGTCAGGAGATACTGCAACAACAAATGGAATCAGTGGTTAAATCATCCCGAGAAGTTCGGCCTTGGGGCCAGGTCTACATATACCTATCCAGCTATACCACAGCTAGCTACATATACCTATTCAGCTATACCACAGCTAGCTATAACCACTGAACCGTTACCCTGAAGCCTTGTCCATTGACGGAGCCGTCGCTCCGGAACTCATGCGTGAAGTTTTTGCCTGCCGGCACCAGAAACTCGAAGTATCTGGAAGTGGCGTAGCTGCCGCAGAACTTGGCTCCGTTGATGCACAGGTAGTCGAAGCCACAGGTGGGGTTGTCTTCCAGGTAAAAGATGTTCCTGAAACAAACGTATTTGTATGTTAGGCTGTTGAACCAGACCGGCTAAGACTAGGTGGAGTAGAGTATCTGTAGACACAATGTTTTTGGTTGTAGTTTTAGATTGGGTATTGGTTTAACTTAGAGAGGATGAGAAGGTTTGAATCCAACTTGGCCACTTCAACATTGGTTGGTAAGTTTTGTTTTTGTGACTATAAAATGTTTACTTCTTATGATTGTTGTCATTTTTTAACACGTTTTTATTAACTCAGCTTCGCGTGTGTTTGTTGTTAAAATTGACATCGAAAATTAGCCCACTTCTGATTGCTCTATAGATCTGAAATTTGGCATGCAGGTTACTTTCGCCTAACAATTTCAGATGCAATCATAAAAACTAGCAATTAGAGACCGTAATTAGCTTAATTTAATTACGCCCAAAGGACCATAAAATTGAGGACATGATTTCTAAAGATACCGACAAGACTGGAGGCTTGTTGACACAGTTACTTCGGCCCCAATCGATGTGAGCGCGCTGGCCGTGATCGTATAGTGGTTAGTACTTCGCGTTGTGGCCGCGACAACCCAGGTTCGAATCCTGGTCGCTCAAGATTTTTTTTTAGTCCGTGTATTTATAAACACTTTTTTAAAAACCACGTGTTTTATGTGTAGCAACGGACTAAAAAGGAGAAAATAAAATACTTAAAAAAAACTTTTTAAAAAACCACGTTTTTCTTGTGGACTAAAAAGTAGAAAATAACTATTTACATACATTTGATGACAAAAAACGTGGGTCGGGCAGATGGGTCGGGAAATTTGATGGTGAACGTACCCACGTTTTTTGTCATCAAATGTATGTAAATAGTTATTTTCTACTTTTTAGTCCACAAGAAAAACGTGGTTTTTTAAAAAGTTTTTTTTAAGTATTTTATTTTTCAATCGCAGATGTTATGGGTGGGTAATTAAATATGTTGGTGGTTTAGCAAATCTAAAAGTGGTTAATCAGATTTGAAGGTGGGTTTTCGTCAAATGCTGACTTTAGTTAACGAAACCCGATGTTGATCAAAATACGTTAATATGCCGTTAGAAGGTAATCAACATTATGTGGCATTGTGTGGCACACTGTGTAACTGTGTGGAGCTGTACGGTACCGTGTGGTGCTATAGGGCACCGTGTGGTGCTATAGGGCACCGTGTGGTGCTATAGGGTTCCGCGCGGCACAGTGTGGCACCGTGAGGTACTGTATGCTGCCGGCACCAAGAAACTCAAGACCCCGATGACGTAGGCTACTCACGTGAAATTGACCCCCACGATGACGTAGGCTACTCACGTGAAATTGACCCCCACGATGACGTAGGCTACTCACGTGAAATTGACCCCCACGATGACGTAGGCTACTCACGTGAAATTGACCCCCACGATGACGTAGGCTACTCACGTGAAATTGACCCCCACGATGACGTAGGCTACTCACGTGAAATTGACCCCCACGATGACGTAGGCTACTCACGTGAAATTGACCCCCACGATGACGTAGGCTACTCACGTGAAATTGACCCCCACGATGACGTAGGCTACTCACGTGAAATTGACCCCCACGATGAGGGGGTCGACCCCCGTCCTGAAGGT